AAGAGACAACTTAAAATTTTGGGTTGTTACAATCTTTCCTCCTTTTAAAATTTCGTCCTCGAAATTTGGCATATGTGTAAACTATCCGCTGCGCTCTCTAATAAATATATGTTTGATAATTAATCTGATAGAAAATATTACCTCAAAAATTTTTTTTATCAGAAATAACTCACTGTTTATTGGTCAAGAATTGTTTTGGGCCAAAATAAGAAATAATGGATGACTTTAAAAACTTTTCATTAGTTTTGTTTCTGAAAAAAAATAAAAAATAAAATAAAATGAGAATACAATTAAACAAGCGACTGGAAGTGAAATGACAGAATCATATGCAGGAGTTGAGGGAATTTGAGATGAACTCTCATTTCTTTTATCTGTGAACTTTCCACTGACAAAAATAGTTTCAAAATTATCTTTATAATTTGAACCCACTTTTAAAAAATCGAAATGATTTTTTTTTTAATATTGAACTAGAAATTATATGTATTTAATTATATTATAATTTTGGTGGGTGCTTGAGCCCGTCACCTTCAGTTTCTTTTCCTTCTTTTGCTATAACAAATATAAATTATATCTAATATCCCTCACAAATTATGCACATATATATATATATATAATCATATAAAATTATAATATAATTAAATCGACTAACAAAATATAATATTTAGGTACTAATTACCCGTTATCCTACTTCTTAAATGTGCGTGTGTCCTATGTTCCAATGATGATTTGTTTTATTATTTTTTTTATAAACCATTGCTCTGATACCATTTGTCACGACCCGCTCCCCGTACCCAAGGGTTAAGTCTCGTGATGACCAGTAACTAAAGTTACCTTGAGGCAATTCTTGAACAAATAAATTAATGCGAGTGGAAATAATATTTAAGTGAGGGTACCAAAATAATTATCGGAGCTTCTATTTTTATTACAAAATTTATTGATCAAAAAGGCCAATATTTACACAAAAATATAACATAAAAGTGTTGTGTGTGCCTATTCCACAACCTCGCATCTCAGACTTTCTAAAAGTTATTTCTGAATTGCATTGTTTCCGAAAAATTGGTAAACAGCTATAAGCACATGACAGAGTGAAAAATATTATGCCAAGAGTATAAGGAACACAAAATAACTATGGATAGTTATGTAACTAAAATATTTAAGATAACTTAGTCTGAACAAATAATCATTTAAGTAATAAAAAATGAGATTATGTAAATAAATAACCATAACCATGGTCTTGAATAGAACAGAACGGAGGTCACATGAGTGACAGTCAGAACAGAGGTACAGATTCAATAGGTGGCTCGTACGGATTACAGAGGTGACTCCCACAATAGTGTAACACTTATCTCCGCATATCACTTTGCTCCGCACAGGACAGATGTCAATAGATCCATGACAATAGAGGGCCACAAAGTGACCAAATAGAGGCCAATGGTTATTTAAGTCCCCAAGGCGTGGGACTCCCGTGGTGGTACTTACAAAACATAATTATTTATAGGGTTATAGTCAAATATTCTTTAAAAGTTAAACAAACATATCCATGGGTTTCATTTTAAACAAATAGAGTTCGAAAATTTATCCACGTAGTTGAAATATTAATATAACTTATAAAATGTAACTTGTATAAAATAAATCATGGTAAGTCAAAACATATACAAAATACATCATGGTGACTCAAGGTATAATATAACTCACCTTAACTTTAATATCTCACTCTTTTTTTCCACTATCAAAACCTTCTTTACTCCCCAGTATTTTCTTCCCCCTTCTCCATTTGTTTCTCCATGTTCTATCCATAGCATCACCCCTCTTTATACACCAGGGTACACTATTTGCTTAGCAAGTTTTGAGTGACACGTAGTCACGCCACATCACCTTGCCATTATTATGCCCTAAACTCAAGCTTATCCTCAAATGGATAAGTTTAAGTAATTGTTTTTTTTTTTAATTTTATTTTCAATGAGTCTGATGCAAGTAAATTATACTTTATTTTGTTTTACTCTTACAAAATATTTAATTAAACATTTAAAGTTTTTCTCATTTATAATTAAATAATACTAATATAGAATTTAAGAGACAACTTAAATTTTTGGGTTGTTACAATCCTTTGTCACGACCCAACCACAGGGGCTTAGGGCTAGAATCGCAACTTACTAACTTATTCTAATCGTAGCAAATTAAACGGTATAGGCGAAGGCAAACGGAAATAAAAATAATTAAACAAAAAGTTACTTCATTCTACTATTTTAAATAATAATAAAAACAAGAGTACATCTATAGGCTTTTAATATTTTATTATGCAACGACTGGCCATCAGGCAAAAACGACGGAAGAAAAGAACAGAAAAACAAATTAACGGATCTACATCAATTTCTTGCACAGGTTCCACTACACGAGGTTATGGGTCTTCCTTACATCTCATCACCTGAAAGGGTAACAACTATAAGCACACAACAGAGTGAGAAATATTATACCAAGAGTATAGAGAATACAAAATAACCATGGATAATTAGTTAAGCCAAAATACATAACTTAATTTGGTAAATAAATCATTTAAGTGGCAAAAATTGAAATACAAAAATTATGTAAATAAATAACCATAACCACGGTATAGAACAGAACAGAACAGAGGTCACAGAAGTGATAGTCAGAACATAGGTCAATGGATTTATGACAAACAAAGGACCACAAAGTGGCTAAACAGAGGCCAATAGTTTTTTAAGTCCCTCAAGGCATGAGACTCCCGTGGTGGTACTTACAAAACATAATTGTTTATAAGATCATAGCCAAATATTTTTAAAATTTAAACAAACATATCCATGGATTTCATTTTAACAAATTGAGTTTAGAAATTAATCCACGAAATTGAAATATTAATATAATTTATAATAATTTATAAAACATAACTTGTATAAAATAAATTATGGTAAGTCAAAACATATGTAAAATATATTATGGTGACTCAAGATAAAATATAACTCGCCTTAATATTGACATTTAGCCTTACTTTCCACTATCACAACCTTCTTACTATAAGTTTCCTACTTTTAGTAACTTACGTGCCTCTTTCTCGTTTTTTTCTCCTTTCCTTTTCTTCCCACAGATTTGATCAATTCCTCCCTATTTATAAGGAGGTAAAAACATCATCAGGTCAACACGTGGCCAGTTTGAATCCTCCCTGGATTTGCTCATTACTAACCATAGATTTATACTTATCTTGGTGAATATTTATGGTAATTACACTTTTGCCCAGTTTTCTAGCATAACTATATAAATAAATTAATCTCTAATTAAATTACACTTTATTATATACCAACAGAAAATTAATAATTTATTTTACTACCGCACCCACAATTATTATTATTATTATTGTTGTTGTTGTTGTTGTTGTTGTTGTTGTTGTTGTTGTTGTTGTTGTTATCAACATTATTATTTATTTACTCTTACTTTTATATTTATTTATTTACTATCTTTAACTCTAATTTGGCCCAACTAATATTATAATTTCATATTTCTGTTAATTTGGCCCCAATAATAATCCCTAATTAATCTCACATTTGATAATCCAATGCCAAATTAGATTCATATATTTGTTTATTTATTTAATAATATATCATCACATACAATCATAACTATATATAACTAAAAATATTTATGTGGTATTTAATTAAACGTTCAGGGAGTCACATCTCTCCATTACTAAATAGAAGTTTGTCCCCAAACTTGACGTACCTTAATTTTTGAAGAGGTGTGGGTATTTGGCTCGCATTTGACTTTTCGTTTCCCACGTAGCTTCTTCGATACGATGATTTCGCCATAAGACCTTTACCAGTGGTATGGTCTTGTTTCGGAGAACTTGATCACGATGATCGAGAATATGCACTGGTTGCTCTTCATAAGAGAGATCCTCTTGAACTTTCAGGTTCTCATAGTCGACAACATGTTCTGGATCTTGGAGGTACCGTCGGAGCATTGAAACGTGAAACACATTGTGGACATTGGATAGTTCAAGTGGTAGTGCAAGGCGATAGGCTACAAGACCAATCCTTTCTAGTATCTCGAATGGCCTGATGTAGCGTGGGTTTAGTTTTCCTCGCTTTCCAAATCGGATAACTCCTCTTGTTGGTGAGATCTTAAGGAACACATGATCCCCTATTTGAAATTCCAAGTCCTGTCTCCGTGTATCTGCATAACTTTTCTGGCGGTTCTGAGCAGTGCGAATTTGCTGTTGGATGAGTTAGATTTTCTCACTTGTGACTTGCACAATCTCGGGGCCTAACAATTTCTTGTCCCCGACTTCCGTCCAACATAGAGGTGATCAATATCTCCTTCCATACAAAGCTTCGTACGACGCCATTCCAATGCTTGCTTGGTAGCTGTTGTTATAGGCGAACTCCACTAAAAGTAGGTGCTCATCCCAGTTACCTTTGAGGTCCAATACGCATACACGCAACATGTCTTCCAACGTCTGGATTGTTCTTTCGGATTGCCCATCAGTTTGTGGATGATAAGCCGTGCTCAACTTCAATGTGGTTCCCAAAGCTTCTTGCAATTTGTTCCAGAAGTGAGACACGAAGTGGGGGTCTCAGTCAGACACGATTGAAATTGAGATACCATGCAAACGAATAATTTCCTTAATGTATAAGGTGACAAACTTATTAAGGTAGTACATGATTTTGATTGGTAGAAAATGTGCCGACTTCGTCAATCGGTCTACTATAATCCACATTGCATCATTCTTCGAAAATGACTACGGTAGCCCGACCACGAAGTCCAGTAATGTGCTCCCATTTCCATTCAGGAATAGGGAGTGGTTGCAGCAGTCCTGCACGTCTCTAATGTTCTGCTTTAACATGCTGACAATGCAAACATTTGGAGACATGGCTTACTATGTCTCTTTTCATTCCTGTCCATTAGTAGTGTTCCTTCAGATCATGGTACATCTTTGTGTTGCCAGGTTGGACTGCAAATCTCAAGCTATGAGCTTCCACCAATATCTTCTACTTGAGTTCCGGAATGTCGGGTACACAAATTTGATTTCGAAATTTTAGTATCCCATTGCTTAGAGTGAAATTAGAATCAAGTGTACATCTTTGCTCCTTGTACTTCTTCTTCAAAAGGTTATCTTCACATTGGCGTGCTCTAATTTCTTCAATCAAGGTAGATTCCACGGTTATGTTAGCGAGCAGTCCATTGATCTTGCAGGAAACGAGAGTACATGCCAAACCTCTAGTCGTCTTTCGGCTCAGTGCATTTGTCACCACGTTAGTTTTGCTTGGATGGTGATGAATTTCTACATCATAGTCTTTTATGAATTCTAGCCACCGCCGTTGTCTCATATTCAGTTCCTTCTGTGTGAACAGATATTTAAGACTCTTGTGATCAGTGTAAATCTTGCAGGTTGCACCGTAGAGATAATGACGCCAGATTTTGAGGGCAAAGATCACCGCAGCCAATTCCAGATCATGAGTTGGGTAGTTCTTTTCGTGAGTTTTTAGTTGGCGTGAGGCATAAGCAATGACTTTTCCATTTTGCATAAGAACACAATCCAAACCATTGTATAAGGCATCACTATAAATTATGAACCCATCTGCTCCTATAAGGAGTGCTAGTATAAGGGCTGACACAAGTCGACTTTTTAATTCTTGAAAGCAACGCTCCTATTTGTCAGTCTATTCAAAGGGTGTGTTCTTCTGAGTTAGTTGGGTCAAAGGTGATGCTATTTTTGAGAAATCTTGCACGAAACGTCGGTAGTAACTAGCAAGACCCAAGAAACTTCAAATTTCTGACACATTAGTAGGTCGTGGCCAATCTACGATTGCTGCAACTTTTTGGGAGTCAACCGAGATGCCATCTTTGTTAATGGCGTGACCGAGAAAGTGTACACTAGTGATCCAAAATTCGTATTTCTTCAACTTGGCGTAAAGTTTATGATCACGTAGTGTTTGTAGAACCGTTCTCAAGTGTTGCTCATGGTCTTCCAATGGCTTGGAGTATATAAGATGTCGTCAATGAAGACATTGACGAACTCATTAAGATAGGGTTTGAACACTCGGTTTATGAGGTCCATGAAGGCTGCTGGGGCATTTGTGACGCCAAAAGGCATGACAAGAAACTCGTAGTGCCCATAACGGATTCTGAAGGCAGTCTTTTCGATGTTTTTCGTGTTGACTTTTAGTTGATGGTAGTCAGAACGCAAGTCGATTTTGGAGAATACTTGGGTGCCTTGAAGTTGATCGAACAAGTCATTGATTTGTGGCAGAGGGTACCGATTCTTGATGGTAACCTTGTTCCGCTCCCAGTAATCGATGCATAACCTCATCGTGCCATCATTTTTCTTCACAAACAGTACTGGAGCTCCCCAGGGTAAGGTACTAGGTCGAATGAAACCTTTGTCCAGTAGTTCCTGGAATTGAGTCTTCAGCTCTTTTAATTCTATCATCGGCATGCGATAAGGAGCTTTTGATATTGGTTGTGTGCCAAGTTGGGTTTTAATGGTGAATTCGATTTTCTAATCAACCGGGATACCGGGTAGATCTTCAAGGAAAACATCCGGGAATTCTCGAACCACGGGGATTGCATCAACGGTGGGGGCCTCTTTTTGTGTATTGATAACATAACAGATATAACTACCACAACCCTTTCTTAGAAGACGTTGGACAGTCATAGAGGATATAATACAGGGAGGGTTGGAAATTCCAGTCCCATCAAAGACAAAGCTCGAGTTGGTTTGGTAACCTGAGGAAAACCTTTTTGGCTTTACAATCATAAAAGGCGTGGTTGGCAGCCAGCCAATCCATACCTAAGATCACATCAAAGTTTTCAATGCGGATGGGAATCAAGTCTACATATAAGGTTTTGCCTTTTAATAATACAGCACAAGATCTGCACACATCAGTACTACAGGCAGACTTACCAGAAGGAAAAGACACAAACAATATATATCATAATGGTTCAGGTGTTGATGCCAACTTGGCAGTAAAGTATGGTACAACAAAAGAATGAGTTGACTCAGAGTCAATGAGGACATGAGCTAAATGACCGCAGACAGAAAGTGTACCTGACACAACGTTTTCGGTAACTTCTGGTTTTCCAGGTACCAAGGCGAAAACCCGTCCTTGACGTTTTCAGTCCTTCCTCTCTCCTCCAGGTCCTGCGGGTTTCCTGACTGGACTAGAGGGGCTGGCTGTAGGATTAGTCAGCTTTGGACAATCCCTCAGCAAGTGGCCAACTTAACCGCATTTAAAACATGCTCCCATGTCTCGATGGCATTGTCCCCAATGAGCCTTTCCACAAGTGGGACAAATTGGAACAGTGCCACCTCGGGGGTTGGTAGGACCTTGATGGCCTGAACTGGTTGTGCCCGTATTCACCTTTTTAGGAAGCGCAACACTGAGTCTTATGTTGTCTCTTTCCCAGAATCGGTTTTTTTGGCTTGGTTCCTCGGAACGCGAGGCTTTAATCCCATTTTCTGCAATGTACGCCCAATCTACCATTTCTACATAAGTTGGCAGTTTCAGGACCTCGAGCCTATCTTTAATTTCAGCATCCAATCCTGCTTCGAATTTTCTTGCCTTTCGAGTTTCGGTGGGGATGACGTATGTCGCGAACTGAACGAGTTATGTGAACTTACTCTCTTATTCGGCCACCGTCATGGTTCCTTACTTTAGATGTATGAATTCCGACACCTTTTGTTCCCGTAATGAATCTAGGAAGTATTTTTCGTAAAATACTTCCAAGAATCTTGTCCAAGTTGCAATTTCTTCTTTCTCCAGAGTGAGAAGCCACCATTCCTGTGCATTGTCTTTGAAAGTGAAAGTGGCGAAAGTTACCTTCTGTCTTTCGGTGCAGCGTAGGGCACGAAAAATCTTTTCCATGTCTTTAACCCAAGTGTCCACTACCATTGGGTCTGGACCACTAGTAGATGTGGTGGGTTTCAGATCTTGAAACTGTTTTATGGTGATCGGCTCTTCTCGCTGTTTCGGCATCCCGTTGTTGATGTTAGTCTGCAAGGCTTGCAAAAAGCTAATAACCGCTCTTTCCATTTTTCTTTCCATCGATTCAGTGCCACTGACTGATGACTCACTTTCGTTACCATTATTGGCCATTCTACAAAGTAATAAACGAGGTATTACATCCATAACGCAGCATAAATATAAGCATGTATAGCGCAATCTATATCTATATAAAATACCAACTTTACTATTTTTTTACAATTAATATTACATCTTGTTCAAAAGTCAAAATATGTTAGTGTCTCATCCCTGTGATACAAAAAAAAAAAAAAAAAAAAAAAAAAAAAAAAAAAACAACAACAACAACAACAACAAAAAGGAATTAGAACATATCATGGTTAGCGTACAAAAAGGTTTTCTTCTATCAAATCTAAAGTAATGGGTCAAACAGGCCAAACAACCATGGGAAATAGTGTTGCATAAAAAGCTCAAATTCCCATCTTAACTAGACTACACCAAAACACATCTACGCTACCTGGACTGTGAAAATGGGGACGGACTGTATGTATCCAAAAAATGCTCGATCGACAATCCAACCAGGTGTCTCGACATATGACAAGTCATTATTAAAGTCAACATTTTGAATATTAATTATCTTTAGTGGGTTAGGGACCGTGGTGAAAATATAGTCCTCAGGGTACACGTTCCCCCTTATGGCTACAAAATCTGGGGGTAGAGGGCCTATGATATAGTGCGGGCGGTCATGTCCCGGGGCAACGCCAAGGACACAAGTGGGTCCAAGAAAACGTCTGCATGTATCGGCATGGCTTTGCCTCCATAGTAAATATGGGAAATCGGTAGGATCAGCCTATATATAGATTGGCCGACACATCAATTGGTCAAGGCCTAGATGCAGTCCTCTGAATCTCCCCAACAATCAGGTGAGGCGGGGGCGAGATGCTCTGCTAAAATCTCATTTAAATTAATGGCCCCGAGCTCATCCCAAAACACATTATCAAGGTTAATCTCTGACATTCCTACATCACCAGAATAAACGTGAGATTTTACACAAAAGTACTAACATTGCAGGTAAATATTTATTTATTTATTTATTTATTGTTATTTTATTATGTTTATTTAGCTATATAGTTTTATTTATAGATTTATTTATAACTTTTCGAACTTCCTAATTAAAATAGCATTTTTTTTTTGAACCATTGCTCTGAACCACCTTTGTCACAACCCAATCCCAGGGGCTTAGGGTTAGAATCATAACTTACTAACTTATTCTAATCGTAGCAAATTAAACGGTGCAGGCAGAGGCAAATGGAAATAAAAATAATTAAACAAAAAGTTACTTCATTCTACTATTTAAAAAAAAAAGAGAAAAGAATACATCCATAGGCTTTTAGTATTTTATTATGTAGTGACCAGCCATCAGGAAAAAACAATGGAAGAAAATAACAGAAAAAAAAATTAACGGATCTGCATAAATTTCTTGCACAGATTCCACTACACAAGGTTATGGGTCTTCCTTACATCTCATCACCTGAAAGGGTAATAGTTATAAGCACACGGCAGAGTGAGAAATATTATGCCAAGAGTATAGGGAATACAAAATAACCATGTATAGTTAGTTAAGCCAAAACATTTACATAACTTAATTTGGTAAATAAATCATTTAAGTAACAAAAACTAAAATGCAAAAATTATGTAAATAAATAACCATAACCACGGTACAGAACAGAAAAGAACTAAGGTCACAGAAGTGACAGTCAGAACAGAGGTCAATTGATCCATGACAAACAAAGGACCACAAAGTAGCCAAACAGAGGCCAATTGTTATTTAAGTCCCCCAAGGCATGGAACTCCCGTGGTGGTACTTACAAAATATAATTGTTTATAAAGTCATAGTAAAATATTCTTTAAAATTTAAACAAACATATCTATGGGTTTCATTTTAACAAATAGAGTTTAGAAATAAATCCACGAAATTGAAATATTAATATAATTTATAATAATTTATAAAACATAACTTGTATAAAATAAATTATGGTAAGTCAAAACATATGTAAAATATATTATGGTGACTCAAGATATAATATAACCCACCTTAATATTGATCTTTAGCCTTACTTTCCACTATCACAACCTTCTTATTATAAGTTTTCTACTTTCAGTAACTTACGTGCCTCTCTCTCTCTCTTTTTCCTTTTCTTTTCTTCCCACAGATTTGATCAACTCCTCCTTATTTATAAGGAGGTAAAAACATTATCAGGCCAACACGTGGCCAGCTCAAATCCTTCCTAGATTTGCTCATAACTCACCCTAGATTTGCTCATTACTAACCATAGATCTATATTTATCTTAGTGAATGTTTATGGTAATTATACTTTTGCCCAGTTTTTTAGCATAACTATATAAATAAATTAATCCTTAATTAAATTACACTTTATCGTATACCAACAGAAAATTAATTATTTATTTTACTACCACATCCACAATGATTATTATTATTATTATTATTATTGTTGTTGTTGTTGTTGTTGTTGTTGTTGTTGTTATCAATATTATTATTTATTTATTTACTATCTTTAATTCTAATTTGGCCCAACTAGTATTATAATTCCATAATTCCATATTTCTATATTAGTATTATTTAATTATAAATGAGAAAAACTTTAAATGTTTAATTAAATATTTTGTAAGAGTAAAATAAAATAAAGTATAATTTACTTGCATCAAAGTCATTGAAAATAAAATAATAATAAAAAAAATTACTTAAACTTATCCATTTGAGGATAAGCGTGAGTTTAGGGCATAATAGTGGCAAGGCGACGTGGCGTGACTACGTGTCACTCAAAACTTGCTGAGCAAGTAATGTATCCTGGTATATAAGGAGGGGTGATGCTATGGATAGAACATGGAGAAACAAATGGAGAAGGGGAAAAAAATACTAGGAGTAAAGAAGGTTTTGATAATGGAAAGAAAGAGTGAGATATTAAAGTTAAGGTGAGTTATATTATACCTGGAGTCACCATGATATATTTTGTATATGTTTTAACTTACCATAATTTATTTTATACAAGTTATATTTTATAAGTTATATTAATATTTCAACTACGTGGATTAATTTCTGAACTCTATTTGTTTAAAATGAAAGCCATGGATATGTTTGTTTAACTTTTAAAGAATATTTGACTATGACCTTATAAACAATTATGTTTTGTAAGTACCACTACGAGAGTCTCACGCCTTAGGGGACTTAAATAACCATTGGCTTCTGTTTGGTCACTTTGTGGCCCTCTATTGTCATGGATCTATTGACCTTTGTTCTGTGCGGAGCAAAGTGCTATACTATTGTGGGAGCCACCTCTATAATCCGTACGCACCACCTATTGAATCCGTACCTTTATTCTGACTGTCACTCCTGTGACCTCTGTTCTGTTCTGTTCTGTTCTGTTCTATTCGATACTGTGGTTATGGTTATTTA